TTTTTTTATTCTTAGACTCTTTCCCCAGGTTTCTGTGTTTGTTTCCATAATTTTCCAAAACTCTGGTTTTGCGTGTTATAGTGAAAGTGTTTATGTGCAGATTTCAATTCTGATGGCTGATGCTGATTGTTGTTTCTTGACTGGTATTGGGTCTGCAGGATTTGGGGTGGTTGAGTCTGATTATGCTCTGATCAGGGTATAACCATTGGTACAGGGACCTCTGGAATGGGGTTTTGCATTGGGGAAGAGCCATTGGACTGGATTCTGAGTACTTGCTTCCCCAGTGTTGAAGAATAACACCAGAGAAGCACGACAAGGCAAGGTCAGAGTAGAAATTAGAAGCTTATTAAAGGACAGCAGAAAAGACTTCTCCCAGAGGAAGAAGGGGACCCAAGAAGTGGAATCTGTGGAAGTGCGGTTGTCTCTCCTTTTTATAGTTTTGGTGATGGAATGTATGTTGAAAGGCCCGAGGGGTGGGACACAGGCGGGCCAAAGAAGTAATCTGGGCAGGAAGAACTTAATTATCACTTTTTGGGATGGGCTTATCACTTCTCTGGGATGGGCTATCTCCAAATCTGTTGAGGGCTGTTTCCTGGGCTCCATTAACATTTCTTTGGGGTGGACTTTGGCCTAGGGCTTTTTTGGGACTTCATTAACATTCCATGAGTTGTCCTGCATTTCCTGGAATCATTGTCAGCTTGGCTTCCATTTTAGATTTCACTCAGTATTAGACCCGATTTACCTAACTACACTGACTACCTAACTTTAAATCTGGCTTCCGTGAGAGTTGATATCCTAAGAGCAGTTTTAGGGTCAGTGGATGGATCGCTACTAACAGATAATGCAGGGATGAGGAAGGATTCTGGCTAAGTCAGCCTACCAGGATTCTACCCAGAGGCAACCCAGTGTGACTGGACATCATCTGGGGACAGAGAAGGATGAGGAACTGACCAGATAGCTTGTGATCAAGTTTCAAGATATCTCAGCAGGATTCAGAATGAAATTAGATATTGTAGAGACCAACACAGAGTCCAAAAGATGTTGAGGGAGAGCTCCTGGGAGGAGGAGCAAGTTGTTGTCGGGGCAGAAGGCAAGGTCACCACTGGTGTCCCAGTTGCCCCAGGCACCATGGATGCTGCAGGGAGATTGTATTTCCTGTCTGCTGAGAGCCCTGGCCAAGTAGGAATGA